GGTGCGATTCGATCCTTTATATCTTGATCTTTCAGTCGGGAGTTTGTCAAGAAGAAGTATGGTTCACACCGATGTGCATCGATTACCTGGAGTTGAAAAGGTTAACGGTGAAGAACCGTTATCCCCTTTTGCATATTGATGACCTCTTTGATCAGCTATAGGGAGCATCTTAGTTCTCTAAGATAGATCTGAGGTCTGTGTACCATCAAGTTAGGGTGAGAGAGGGGGACATAGAAAAGACCCCGTTCTGGACTCCTTATGGGCATTACGAGTTCATGGTGATACCATTCGGGATCACCAATGCGCCTGCAGTATTTATGGATTTGATGAATCGGGTATGCAGGTCGATGCTCGATCGCTCGGTTATTGTGTTTATTGATGATATCTTGGTGTATTCCAAGACCAAATAGCAGCATGAGAAGCATCTTCTCAAGCTTTAGGGGGTTTTGAGGCGAGAATGGCTTTATGCTAAGTTCTCGAAATGCGAGTTTTGGTTGCAAGAGGTTCAGTTCTTTGGACACCTCGTTAACCAGGACGAGATTTTGGTTGATCCGACCAATATTGAGGCGGTGATGCAGTGGGAGGTTCTGAAAGCTCCATTGGATATGAGGAGTTTCTTGGGTTTGGCAAGGTACTACCAAGGATTTATTAAGGATTTATCCAAGATTGCAGTACCCCTCACTTGTTTGACGAGGAAGGGGGTGGATTTCCGGTGGGGCCCTAAGCAACAGAGAGGACGAGTGATAGCTTATGTTTCATGGCAGTTCTCAGGCATAGAGTACAAGTGATAGCTTACGCTTCATGGCAGCTGAAGTTACATGAGATGAGATATCCCACACATGATATTCAGTTGGGGCAGTGGTTTTTGCCCTCAAAATTTGGAGGCATTATCTTTATGGGGTCCGCTATACTATCTACACGAATCATAACAGTTTGAGGCACATTATGGATCAGCCAAACCTGAACATGAGGCAGAATAGGTAGCTGGATGTAGTCGAGGATTATGGCTATGAGATCTTTTACTATCTGAGTAAAGCAAATGTGGTGGCGGATGTCTTGAGTCGCAATTTGGTTGGATCTTCTGTTGGGATGTCATGCATGAGGATCTATGTGGATTCTCCACTTTTGGGATTGATTAGGGAGGCTCAGGCTGAGGATGTTCGGGAAGAAAACTGGAATATTGAGAGGTTCTGGGGCGATATCACCAAGTTTATTCCAGACAGTCGTGGTTTGTTGACTCGTTGCGGTCGGGTATGGGTTCCTATGTTTGGTGCGGTCAGATAGATTGTGTTAGAGGAGGCTCATAAGTCTCGTTTTTCTATCCATATGGGGGCCACCAAGATGTATCAGGATCTACATTTGAGATATTAGTGGTCGTGCATGAAGAGGGAGATCACTTGGTACGTTGAGAGGTGCTTGACCTGAAGGATGGTCAAGGCCGAGCATCAGTGGCCGCATGGAAAGTTGCAGCCTCTGGATGTTCCCATCTAGAAATAGGAGCAGATTTCAATGGACTTCATCACCAAGTTGCTAAAGACAACAAGGAGTTTTGATTCTATTTAGGTCATCGTGGATCGATTGAACAAGAGTGCCCATTTCCTGGCGATTCGGGAGAGCTCGTCGGCTAATAAATTGGCCAATATGTATATTCGCGAGATCATTGCTCACCATGGGGTTCCAGTCTCCACTGTCTCGGAATGTGATGTTCAGTTCACCTCCCATTTTTTGCAGAAGTTCCATGAGAAACTAAGCACGAGACTACACTTCAACACCGCGTATCATCGCCAGACCAATGGCCACTTGAGGATTTGTTGCGAGCCTGTATCATTGATTTTGGTGGGATTTGGAACCCCTACCTCCCTCTTGAAGAGTTCTCCTATAACAAAAGTTTCCACTTCTACATTGGTGCACCGCCTTTTGAGCTTTTGTATAGGCGAAGATGTTGTACCCCTGTTTGTTGGGGCGAGGTCAGACACAAGGTTGTAAGTCGGACCGAGGTGGTTCTTCAGACTACAGAGATGATCCAGTAGATCAGACAAAGACTACAGAGTGCTCAGAGTAGGAAAAAGAGCTATGCTGACCGGCACAGATCTGAGTTAGAATTTCAGGTCGGTGACATGGTGTTATTGAAGGTCTCACCTTGGAAAGGGGTGATTTGCTTCAGGAAGAAAAGGGAAGTTGGGCCCCCGATATATTGGACCATTCCATATTATTTCTAGGGTTAGCAAGGTTAGCAACATATTAGACCTTCATGAGGAGCTCATCCAGATCTATAGCACTTTCCATGTTTTGCAGTTGTGGAAGTTCGTGTTGGATGAGGATGTAGTGGTGTCATTGGATGACATTCAGGTTGATGAGTTCCTAAACTATGTTGAGAGGCCCGTAGCCATTTTGGAGAGGAAAGTGAGGGTTTTGATAAGCAAGGAAGTACCTCTGGTAAAGGTACGTTGGCAGCATCGGAGGGGCTCCGAGTGGACCTGGGAGTTAGAGGCGGAGATGCGGGAGCATTACCCGGAACTCTTTGATGCAGCGGACTTCGATTACGAAGTATGAGTCAAGTGGGGGAGAGTTGTAACACCTTGATTTTTGGTAAGTTTCCCTTTTTCCCCTCAAACCTTTGAAATTGTGCATTTTGACCCTTGCAGCTAGTACGCAAGGCGTACCCATATGGTACGCTTACGTACTAGCTAGGGAACAGATCGGGACTTCAGGAGCGTACGCTATGGTATGTTGGGCGTACGCGTGGATTCAGAAAACCCTAATGTGGGTTGTTGCACCCTATAACTTCATCCTTAACTTTTAGACTTGGCCTAATTTCATTTCCCTCACCCTCCCGAAAACCCTAAACATCCCTTTTAGCCTCCTATCTTTCATCTTGAGCTTTTTAAGTAAACGATGATGTGTTTTGATCCATCTTTCAAGAACCCTAGAAGGAAGTGAAGTTTATAGCTTGGTGGGATGTTGGAGATCCAGAACCTCTACGTATTTTGCAAGGATTTTGAGGTATCAAGTTCTTATCTTGTATACTAGTTGCTTAGATCTCTTTTGGGGTTAGTTTGTTATGTTATAAGTCATGGTTGGGTGCATGATTGGACTAGGATGTCCCAAAAGACTTATCCTTTCAGATCTAGGCTTTCCATGTCCCCCTCATGCATAACAGTGACATCTTTATGAATTTAAGAGTCTCATGCAAGCATTAAGTCATGTATTAAGCCCTTTTTTGAGCTAAAGATCATTGTTTAGCCATGCATGAATGTAAAATTAGAAACTTTACATGTTTTCTCAGCTCAATAAGGTCAAATCTCCATTTTAGGGTGTTATCTTAAGATGTTAAGAACATAATGGGAGAATGGGCTTAAAAGGGGAGTACACTGGGCGTGCCAGCCGGTACGCGCAACGTACAAGCCTCATTGCGTGTATTCCAAGCGTACAACTGAGTACACCCCGCATACTCAGTCTGTCGGCTTACGGTTTTGGGATTTTCGAGTGGGTGCCTTCTTGGGCTTAGACACTTGGATTCTCTTTGGACTTCATGATATGAGTGTTTTGGGTTGATTGGGAGTTGGACCTTAGGATAAGGCCCAATACGGAGTCAGGCTTAATTTGGAAAATTTGGCCAATTATGGAGCGAGAAATAATTTGGGCCTTTTGGATCAAAGATTTGGACTTGGGCCTTGACCTAATTAGGGAAAGGGTAAAATGGACATTTACCCGAAGTATGGATCCTTAGTCAAGAATAGTATTCCAAATGTTAATTGGATGTTTGTTTACTTTGATATATTAGGATTTTTTGTGAGTCAGCAGTCAGGGATTTCAGTGCTGCTTGACATTTGAGAGGTGAGTTTTCTCACTATACTAAGGGGTCGACGGCACCTAGTCTGACCCATTGGTTTGATAACCTAGTATTTGCTGATATACTAAATATGAATTAGATATGCATGCTAGTTTGATATGTTGGTCTAGTAGATCTGTAGGACTACCTGTGATATTGCGTATTTATCTATATATGATATTATCTGTTATATGTCGACATATTGTGTGGGTGGGTTGAGGTAGTACTGCTTTGTGTTGTAGCGAACTAACCATTGAGTATGTCAGATATGAGCTGAGGGCCAGGGAGGGCATGCCAGACTCATACTGAGGACTCATGAGCATTCCAGATATGAGCTAAGGTCCGGGCAGGGCATGCTAGACTCATACTGATGGCTCAACGGTATTCGGTTTGGTGACTGATCAGGTCGGGGAACAAGCCAGACATAAGTTATGGGCCCGTGAGGAAAGCCAGACTTATGTTGTGGGCTCAGGGGTAATCCAGTCTGTTAAGTTGTGGACCCATTACATGTTGTTATTATATTTGTGCTATTTGTTATGTATCGGTATTTTGGGGGAACTCATTTGGCACACATTTGCACTGAAATCTCTGATTTCTCACAACTCTGGGTTCTATTTTATGGTGAAAATCTCAATGCGCTTGTGAAAGCCAATACTGGTCGTAATTCTAATGGATACTATTTCAATTTTTGAAAACTAAAAGGTGGATCTATGATTGTGAAGCTGCTGCAAACCGAAAATGCATGCTTCTTGTGAATTTCAAAAATTCAAGGCACGTTTCAAAGGGTCTGACATTATGACGATCAATAGACAGTGGTTGAAGTTTGCTACAAAATTTTGATGAGATGGGAACATATTATTGGTACATTATTTTTGGAATGATTGGCGTGATTCCATTTGATGACATTAAAGACACAAAACAATTAATGTATGGTGGTGGGTTTTCTCTCTCCACACCCATAAACGGTTCATATTCAAATTCTACACCTCTCTCACCGTCTAAAACCTAATTTTTTATCATCTTCCTTTCTAGGCTTCAAAAACCCTATGATGCAACCTTCCATAGACAATTTTTTATTTTCTCAAATCACATGGATTCTTTTGATCGTGTCTCATTCATGAATCAAACGTTTTCATCTATACTACTAAACATCAAGTTAAATCAAAATATGGTGGCTGTTGTCGATCCATCGAAGTATTTTCAACTGGTTCAACCCTTGATCATTTGTTTGGATCATTCTATATTGAAGAAAGCTCTAGTTATGATTGAATATGTTCCGATTTCCCAGTTATCATTGGCATATTCAATTGCTATTTACAATAAGAAGATGGAGGTTATGGGTTTTGAAATTCAAAGGATGAAGACGTCTATTTCCAAAACAAATTTCTGCAAGTTGTCAGGGCTTTCAATTACTGAAGATTTTATTGCTCAAGATAATATTTCTACATTGTCCTTTATTCAGGTCCATCAAAAAATGGGGTACATTTCTGATTTATCTGTTCTTTCTCAATTTAAGAAGTTTGCACTTCCTCCCATTTGGAATGCATTATTTACGATACAATTCAAATGCATTTCTAAGAGATCAATTGGATATGATAATGCAAGTCAAGTATTTCATACTTTGTTATATGGACTCTATTTTGGTGAAAAGATTGATTTTTGAACTATCTTATGGGATTAATTTGTTCAAAGTCCTCCTTCAAAAACAAAGGGCACTAAAATTTCATGTGCTCGTTTTTGGTTAGTTATGGTGTGGGATGCTATGCTCCATTATCATATTATAGAGATGAGTGTTGTTGTTATTGATGATATTCCTAAGATGCAAACCTCAACTTTTGTCACTTCTGATCCAAAGAATTTCTTGATTGTAGGTTCAATTTCTTAAGCTATGTGATCTAGGGTTCCTACTGATAATCCTATATTGTTGAATATTTGAAGACCGTTGTTAATATCGGAGAGGTTGGATCTTATTCCATTCATGAAGAAGAAATTCCAAAGAAGAAACAAAAAAATTCTAAGCAAATAGGGAAATCGATTGTTTCTAAGAAATTCGACAAGCAATAGAAGTGAAGACATAATAATATTGTTAATAAAGAAGAGTCAAGTGAGCATACTACAAGTCTTAATCATAATTAAGAGGATTCTGGTCTCAACAATGAAAAAGATTTTGAAGACATTGGTTGAAATCAACAAATTTTCCGGAGCCAATTCAAAAGTCTACTCCTCTTGTCTCTTCACACATGGAGTCTGAAGCATAATTCTATAAAGAGGTTGTAGATCCTTTTCTTAATCTTTCACAAACACCTCCTACACCACCCATTATTTCTACTTCTTAATCCACTCCAATTCCAACAAGTACATTTTATGTTCCTAATTCTTAGTTTTCCACAAAACCAATTAAGATTCCTATTTTTATTGAGGCAACTGTTACTACTGTACGTCAAACCACAACTTATGTAGAAACTACACCAGAGGCTTCTACTTTTGAATCCCATCGGGAGGAGACTAGTGAATAGAAGAAACATATTATGTTCCTTTTCATGACAAATATGTGAAATTTATTCCAAACGAAGTTGTTCAAATAGGAGAAAAATTTTCTTAGTCTTGCAAGCAAACAAAGAGTTTTCCATGTTTGGATTGAGACTTGAATGTCTCAAAAAACTAGAGAGGAAGATGAGAAAGTTAGTACACGAGCACTAATAGATCAATGAGAAATAGATGTTGTAGTAGATACAATATTTTATAAAGAAATGGAAATGATTAGATGTAATACTTCACCAAGAGTTAGAAAATGGTTAAAGAAAGCGATGAGTATTCACTTGTTGTAGAATTAGAATTGCATAGTAGAAGCGTATGAGAAATTGTAAACTTACCTAAGAGTAGATGGTTAAGAATCGTATAAGTACACTTGTGAGAAAAGAAATGAAAGATGGTAAGTTTATGCGTATAGCTATGAAAAGTGGGAAAAAAAGATGAGAGATCATGATAAGTATTCAATGTAATTGCATAAGATTAGATAGAGTAATAGACATCCCTTAACAACCATTATGAATAGATAGATGAAGAACGATTGGTCATTCCACTGAAAATGCAAAGAAAAGGAAAGTAGATTGCTATTTTGGGTTAAAAGGTTCAGGTAGAGAATAACCTTATAAATGGGTCATTAAGTAATAAAATGACCAAGAGATCAATAGAATATTATGAGGACGGAATCCCTTAAAGGGGGGGGGGGGGGTTGTAAGAACCTAAAATTTAGAGAAAGTCTACCTTTAGTCAAATATTGACCAATATGGAAAATGGTCAATTATGAGAAAGAGATGAGATTATGAAGTTGTGAAATTATGAAAATCATCAATAAGAGTTTAAATCACATATAAGATGTTAGATAGGTAAGTTCAAGAGAAAGAATGCATGAGAATATGCATTTTTAGTCAAAAGAAAAAATGAGAATTTTATTTTTTTATGCCAACTTTATGTCGTAATATATTAAGACTTGTATTAATTCAATAAGATATAACTTATAAAATTTGTATAATATGTTACTACCTTTGCGTGGATATAAAGATCATTGAAAATGGGTAAGAAAAAAAAGAATATATGAACGTTAGAAGTTGGGACAAATTTGTCCCATGGGTGGAATGGAATCAGCCAAAGGGGCTGTTGTCAAGGCGGAACCACAGCGTGGTGGATAGAGTTCCAACACACTTTTCTCCGCAATGTGGTGCGGTGTATAGGCACCATACCACGATGGCCAAAGTAGGTTGCTAGTGGAGGAAGAGCTCCACAACTTGCAAAGTAAAATGCCACACCATGGAAAGCAAATGTGTGTCCATTGACTGGGGTCAAATGGCTTTTGTGGCGTGTTTTTGCATCAGAACAAGAGGCTCATAAGCCTTCATTCTTGTCATTTTCACCCCCAAACACCCCAATAGCCAAGCTTTGGCGATTTCAAGGATGTGGAAGGATCAAGAGGTGATTTTAAGTGCATATGGATTAGATTAGAGAATAAAAGCTCATGAGGTAATCGTGTTCTTTATTTTTAAGCTAGTAGGGTTTTAATGGTGTTTTTGAAGAATTGAGATAGTTATGTTAGATTAGAGTAAGAAAGCTTATTAGTATAGTTAAAGAAGATGAATAGATTCCATAAACAAGTTTTGTATGTAAAACTTGTTAGTAGAGTTAGAGAATATGTTTAGATGTCTTAAAAAAGTTTTATATGTAATCCTCATGAGTAGGACTAATCCAATGAGAGTTAGGGTTTAAAATCCTAACTAATGTGTATGTATGAATTGATGAACTAGATGTTAGACTGTAATGAATTGGTGAGTATGGGATGTTTAACTTGTAACACCCGCAGATTTGTGCTAGTCAATTTAGAGACAATGAGCATCAAAAATGAGTTTTTGATGGAATATTATTTATACTAAATAATCTCAACCAAGTACTAGTATATGTCACAAGGGTTCCGTACATATAAAGAACAGCAAAATCCAAGTTATAATGAAGAAGTTATTACATGTCGAAGTTTTACGACTAAACCGGCACGACACCATGTAACGTAAAAAGTGAATTTTAGATAAACTACTTTTATCCTTAGAGATCTAAATGAAAATTTTAGTATACGTTAAATTGGGAGCGTTCATAAAAAGAAAGTCCAAATATGACATCGTATGAGGAAGTTATGAATTTTCTAAGATTTGGCATAGCAGTGTGCAATCCAGAATCTGAATTTTAGATCGGTCGATTTTTAGCCAACATAATCTAAACAATAAACGAAGATATTATTAATAGGAGTTTAATGATAAAAAGATAGTCAAAAATCGAGCTCGTATGCAAAAGATATGGATGAAACTTAGTTATTACTCTTCGAGCGTGGCGAATTCGATACGGTTTTGTAAATCTAAGATACAATGAGAATTAGCTGACGGGGTCTAAATGAAAGTTGTAGTTCTCGTAAATACCAACGTGCATATATAAAGAACATCGATATTAGATCCCATATCTTAAAGATGTGGGTAAAACTTAGTCCTTACTCTTCGAGCGCGATAAATTCGATACAGTTTTGTAAATCGAATATAGAATGAGAATTAGCCGAGGGGGTCTAAATGAAAGTTGTAGTAATCATAAATACCAACACGTAGATGTAAAGAACTTAGAAAATGGATCTCATACATGGAAGATACGGACGAAACCTAGGGCCTACTCTATGATCAAACCCCAATAAATAAATGATGAATTCTTCATATTTTCTTCACACCATAAGCCTTTCTTCTTCTCTCTAACTTCTCCATAAACTCCCAAAACACCTCTAAATCCCTAGTAACCTCAAGGTGCTAGAGGAAAGCCTCGAAGCACCAGAAGGCTCCGAGAAAAAGAGCTTTTCGGCCCAAAAGCTTTGCTCCAGTAGAGCCCAGTTTTTAGCAAAAGTCGTTGTAAGTGAGATACGCCTACCCTACTTTAAATATAGATTATATTTAAATATAATATCATTATTATGAACCTATAAATAAGATTTTTCAGTGATTCAAAGTTGTTATATTGATTGAACTACTTATGGGAGAGGTGTCTAGAATGGCCATGTTGGGTTTGGTTGTTGGATTTCAGAAAAGCTATATGTTGAAATGATCCTGCCTCCAAACTGTCATGCCTGGCTGATCCTTACACGATAGATCATGAACTAGACTCTGAGTTAATGATGAATCTAGACTAATAACTAGTTGCAATAAATATTAGACTAAAATCTAGTGGTAATAATACTAGGTTTCATTTAAGAAAATTATTTTTAAGAAGTGAAGCATTGTCTGAGTTCGGAATCACCACCTTAGCATGTGTCACACACCAAAATCGAGAACGGCGGAATACATTTTGGGGTGGAGGACTTCATGTTCAGTATCATAACAATGCATAATAGTAAAAACAAGCAAGCACATTCATTATATTAATATGCTAATTGTAATACATGCATGTTCTGTACATTTATGTAGACACCAAAAGTATGAACAAAATAAAAGATGAGTCTTATATGTGCTCCATCTTCCCAAAAGTTGCATCACCACATGTTTATTTTTGACCTGAGAATACAAGTTATTTTGAAAACGAGTATCAGCATAAAGATGGTGAGTTCATAAGTATTTAGTGCCGTTGCTTGTATAAAAGTGTTTATAATCTTGTAGTGAAATGACTGTTATGAAAATTTGAAAGTAGTTTGATTTATAGAAAATCCCATATTTTCCAACAAAAGTAGTATTTTACCAAGACTGGGTCATTAGTAGGCCCATTTCTTTTATAATATTATAGTCTTATCGTGAAAATATCAGGAATGAAAATACAGTTTTAACTCGTTCATTTTAGAGAAGGAATAGAGTTTCACCCCAGCAGCATCCCTACCGGTTAAATGTAATAGTGAAGGTAAACTCCTGATAGTATTAATTTTGTATGTACCTTAGGATGTGTTTTTAATTAAAGTTTGAATGTGAGCTCGTATGAAATCGTACTGAGTGACAGTAGCACAGTGGCCGACCTTCCAGGTCACCAATAGTGTGGTAGTATTTGTCATCCCTGGACCAAAAGGCTCGAACTGTAGCTAGCAGTCAGGATGGGGGGAAAATCTGTCCCGTATAGATCTATACACGTAGTGGTCGCTCTCCCTCCAGGAGACGACGG